TTGATTTGATAAGATGATGTTTGAGACAGGAGGTTTAGTAGAAAAAAGGAATGATGTGATCATTCAGAGAGACAGAGAAAAGGACTTAGCAGAAAGATGCAAGCTGAACTTGAAGGAAATGACTTACTATTTGGTGATCCTGACACTGAGAGTGAGAAGATTCCAAAGAGTAAAGGACTCCAAACGATAACACGGCGATGATACGGCGGTGAATCCAAGTTGAGGTGTGCTGGGTTTCTGGTCTGAGTTGGTTCTGGGTGGGTCTGAAGCTTGAAGATCCTGAAAATGCGAACTCAGTATCCTCTGAGAGAATTTTCAGAGTTGGATTACATAATCACAACATGTACATGTGGTAGAGAGTTGGAATTCCAACTTGGTTGATATTTCACAAGGTACGGTGAAATATTACAAAGTCTATGAAGGAGAAGAGTAGTGTGAAAGTGTGTAGTGGTGACTAAGGTTAAAATCACATGGGGAATTCATTTCTGAAGTCAGAATGTAAGAAAATCAAGTGATAAAAAAGTTATAGTAGGAACATAGCTGAAAAGGAGGACTTAAGCAGTCTTTTGGCCAGCTTGGCTGGCTCTAAGGCTGACACTGAGCATAGCAGCCCACCGTTGTTGTGTTGACCATCAGCAGTCAAACCTTGTTAGAATGCCTATTTTAAGGTTTATGGGAAAGCAACAGAGTTTAGTGGGAGGCTCCCCTATGGAGTTGAAATCCCACAATTAAAGGTCATGAAGTTTGTGCATCAGCAAACAAACCTTGTGCCACATCAGCAACAGTTTTGGTGCAACATGAGCTGCCCTAATACATGGCTTCCTCAGAAACCCATATTCTACACTGAAGTTGACAGGGATCCAGCAGAGGGTTCACTAGTAGATGATCAAGCCAACTCCATTTTTCTGCTCTCCCTCAAGTCCTGATAGTGTTGAAATATGTCATCAAGAAAGATGAGGTCATACTTTTGAATCTTGGGGGCTTCATGTTAGATGGTAATCCATTGTTTGTAATGAGCAGCTCTCATCTTGATCTGAGCTTGGCCAGATGCAATTTGAGTGCTCTGTCTGTCATTTTGAATATTCAATATCGAATATCCATGAACCCGACTGCTCTGTTGGCCAGTCAAACTGGCCCACACACCGAGAGAACCACCCAAATATCACCCAGAAATGTCGGATTTTATCTTCACCATAGACAGTGAGGACGAGGAAACCATACCCTCCGCCCCATCCGCCAAGCCCAAAAATATCACATCCAAGAAGCCTCAAAAGAAGCCTAAGCAGGTGGACGAACCTACTTTGGAACTGAATCCAAACTTCTTGCTCGACGGATTGGGACTGGATCCAGATTCCAATTCTGAACACAGAAGTAACAGATCCAAACTACTGGTCAGTCCTCCAATTACCACTTACCAACCAAAGGAAAAATGCTTCAGAGGTCTAATTTTTAAGCATTGTCCTAGAATGAATTTGAAGATCCCCTGGAACGATTCAGGAAGAAGAACGCCGTACCGAGGGTATCGATTGATGAAATCGTGGCACGACACAAAAAGTCAGACGATCATCAAGATGCACTAATGGATGAACTGGAAGATTGGAAGGACGATGATAGCGAGGAGGAAGAGGAAGAAGCTGGAGCGAATGGGGCTGATGAAGAAGGTTTATCTGGCGATGAAGAGGATCGTGAAGCAAGTCCAAACGGAACTGATGAAGACGAAGATGTGGACTGTAGCGATGAAGATGTAGACCATAGCGACAAGAATAATGATGAAACTCGTCAAGAGGATGATTTCGACAGTGAAGAAGATGGATCACATTCAGCTAATGATCAGGCACTCGACGACAAAACATATCAAGACAGAGAGCTTGGTAGTAAAAATCAAGACGCTTCTTCTAATGCCTACTTTGATCAATCAGTTGTTCCTTTTGACCCAGCTACAAAAGAAGAGCTCGTCAAGGACAGTCATGGTACGCTTCTCCGACACGTTTCGCTGCTCTCGAGTTGCTCATTGAGTTATTTTTTGATCATTTTGTTCAGATCAACCATTCTCCTCTTTACCGGGCGCTGCAAGTCTCAGTCGACCCGTTCTCCTGGGATTGTCTTCAATGTCTATTACTAGCCCAACGCCGATACAACGGCAAGCAATACCACTAGGATTGCTTGGCAAGGATTTGGTTTGCTCGTCTGTGACCGGGTCTGGCAAAACCCTTGGCTACATGGTTCCTATCGTAGAACGATTGATCTGGCGAGACAAGAAAGGTGGTGGACGAACACGAGTCATGATATTGACTCCCACTCGTGAATTGGCCGTTCAAGTCTTCCAAGTGGGTAAACTGCTAGCTAGATTCACAGATCTCACATTCTCCCTGTGCGTCGGCGGAATGGATCTGAGAACGCAAGAGGCCGAATTGCGAGAAAGGCCAGAAATCGTCATCGGAACTCCTGGCCGTGTCATCGATCATATCAGAAACACGCGGGGCTTCTCACTAGAAACGTTGGAAATCTTAGTCATCGATGAGGCCGATCGAATTTTGGAGGAAGGTTTTCAAGACGAGCTAGAGGAAATCATTAGCAACTGTCCCCGCTCGAGGCAAACGATGCTCTTCTCAGCTACAGTCAATGAGTCGGTGGCCGATCTGGCGAAACTTTCTTTAGATAAGCCCATTCGAATCAAGATCGATCCTCCAAAATCTACTGCGGCTGGCCTGACGCAAGAGTTCCTTAAAGTCAAAGATAGTGCCAGCAACAAGAAAGCTGCATCTCTAACCGATGTCACGAGACAAGCCATCTTAGTCACTCTCTGTAAAGCATCTGCTTTTAGTAAAGGGCGGACGATCATCTTCTTTAGAAGTAAAGTAGGGGCGCATCGAATGAAAATCATCTTCTCATTGTTTTCTCTTAAAGCCGAAGAACTTCATGGAAATTTGAATCAACAGCAGCGACTTGCCGCCTTGCAAAAATTTAAAGACGGCGAAACTTCGTTTCTATTAGCAACTGATCTGGCCAGTCGTGGATTGGATATCAAAGGGGTCGAAAGAGTGATCAACTATGAACCGCCGACCCAATATGACGTCTATCTACATCGGATTGGTCGAACTGCACGAGCTGGAACGAAAGGTAGTGCTCTCACATTAGTTGGAGAATCTGATCGCAAATTGATCAAAGAGGCTCGCAAGAATTGTCTTGCGACCCAAGGGGCTATCAAAAACCGTCGCCTGGACCCCAATCTGGTGAAAGACGTCAAGGAGGAACTCGAGAAACTGTCGTCTACGATTGCGGAAATCATCGAAGAAGAAAAGGAAGAAAAGGAGTTGCGGAATTCGGAGATGCAGATGAAAAAATGTCAGAATCTCATCGAACATGAAGACGAGATTAAAAGTCGACCGGCTAGGACTTGGTTTCAATCGGAATCAGAAAAGAAAAAATCAAAAAGTTCGTTATAACATGTCCACTTTTATTTTGAAATAGGCTTCGATTGTCTTTAACTGAGTTTTTCTTTTTCTGTCTTAGAAATCGGGACAACTGCTCATACGGCGAATTTTGCAAAGACCGACCAACGCTCTGTATTACCGAAGAAGACAGCGATCAAAAGGGATCGATTCGATGGCCTCTCACGTAAACAGAAACGACGGAAGATGGGCCAGGAAGAGGATGCCAAAGAACGCCTGTTTCCGGCTATCAATTCCTCTATCAGAGCCGCCAAGAAGTCCCTGCGACCTTCTAAAATCACCGCGCGTGAAAACCGTTGATTATCCGCACACGTAATCTCACTGAGATCCTAGAGTAGTGCTTATTCTCTTATACACTTGGTTTTCTGTCAAGAACTAGCTTTTTTTCTCTCGCCTCTTACAATTATAGACTACGCTTAGCATGTTCATTAATCAAGCAATTTCGGGCAGCATTGATCCCAAGGCCCAGAAATTCTAATTGAGATCTATACCTTGAAATTAGCACTGAAGTCCACAGTGGTGATAAATGTAAATCCCAGTGAAACAAGATCTTAATCAATTGTGTTGCTAGTTTGTACTGTGTGGTCCAACATCAAGGAAATACACATCAACATATGTAGATAGACAGGGGAGTCTAAGAGAGCACCTATCCCAGTCATTCAATGACAGTGAGCATCTATTGATTATATAAAGGAAGTAATGAGGCCTACACTATACTCATAGTTTGATCATGCACCTCTTTCTTGTTCACCTTGTCTAATGAGTCTGTGTATGCATTTATGCTTGTTTGTATCTTTACTCTGGTCTACTCTCTTATAAGCAAAACTTCTTGTTTCAGTCTGCAAAAAATAAAAACAAAAAGCTTGGTGTAGGAGATCAGAAAAAGTGATATGGAAGGATAATACCATCAACGGTGCCACAGATACGATACGATACGGTATCAGGTGTTTATCTGTATCGTCTCAGAATTGGAATACCCAAAAATACCGGATTTGTGTTGTCTCACTTTCCTGAGACATATACATGTATCGTATTTGAAAAGTGAGAAATGTATTCTGTATCGTCTCAGATGACTGATCCCACCAAAACCGTATTTGATACATAAGATACTTGGCTGTATTGAAGAAAAAACGAAAAAAACGAAGACGAATTTTTTTTTTTTCATTTTTAAATCCAAATCCGATACAATGTATTTTTTCACCAACCAAGGAAATACTGATACCGGTATCAGGCTCAAAATAAATACGATACGATCCGATACAAATACATGTCTCATATCTGTGGCACCGTTGATACCATGCATCAAGAGCTATTTTGCAGATTTCTTTCTTGAAGCATAGAAAAAAAATGAGACAGAGGAGTGCATGTAGATTTGAATTGAATTGGTCATCTAGAGTGGTCTGCTTGACCTGCAAATTGTATTGTTTGGAATTGAGTCTCTTTTGCTGATACAAAGTAACACTGCCATCATCACACTCTAAATAAAAAGTTGATGCCCATGTATTGCATCATGCTAAATGGAAATTGCAGTTTTTCAGAATGCAGGAAGAGATGAAACATGATAAACACAGAAACAAGAGTAGCAAAAAAACAAGAACACTAGAATCAATTTTTTATGCAAGCTTCACTTTTGTTGAAAATTTTGACTGTTTGGTATTTTTTTTGATGTTTGTTCTTTTGATGAGGATTTCACTTCTTGTTTCATTAGTCTTTTGGAAATCTATCTTTGATATATCTGTTCAGAATTGACACTACAAGGTTTCAAGGCCAAAACAATTATGGTTCATTTTCCCCAAAAAATTAATGTTTGGAAAATGAAGTAAGATATCCATGATCACTTACTTGTTGTAACATTCAATTATATAGAATCAAGTGCACTTATTCCTTCTGACTGGTGAGTTTGTTTGTACTGTGCAAATTTGGAAGAGGTAATTTTGTACCAGTAATCCAAAAGTGACCTTGCAAGTGTCTTGATATCATCTAATGCTGGTCTCTCACAATTGAGTATATTTGCAATTCTCTTTTGATTGCCATCAAATAAATTTAAAGCTTCTTCATCAGTTGGTTCTTTGATCTTACATGTTCCAAACAATGGCAAAGTGTCTCTGGTTTGTTTGAATATGAACATCCAGAACCATTCAATCAGAATCTCATTTGAATTTTCCAGTTTGGCTCCCAAATAGCTTGAGTCTAAGCCATGAAATGAGTCCAACCTATGATAGTAATCTAAGTAAAAAAGAATACGAGTGATTCTACTTCCTGCATATCTTTTTTTGGTTGCTTGTTCTCTTGGAATTATTTCCACTGAAAAAAGTTGGATTTTGTGTGGAAAATATTCATCATACAAGGAGTTCCCCTCCTTGACAAGTGAGATTGTTGAATCTTTTATATGAATTTCTTTCAATCGTTCATAGGTCTCAGTCCTTCTTTTTGATTTATCCAAACCAACTTTTTTGAGTTTATTCTTGAATTCATTTTTCCATCTTTTGATAACATGTTTATCTGCTGGGAGGACTTCTGAAGAAGATAATTCATTCACTCTCTCATCCAGAGCTGAAGCTTGTGCTGATAAAATATTCTGACCATCCAAATTATTATCAGCTATAGATGAAGGGGCAGGGTCAGGCTTAAATTGAGCTGATTTGAATTTATCTTGGATCCAAGGTCTTCCCTGGTGATATTGAGGCCTATGAGAGCGTGGTTTCCTGATGATATGACTATCTATGAGGTGACCATTGTATATGGAGGCTTCTCTTGAAATAAGATTGTTTGTTTGTTCTCCATTTGAATAACTTTCAATCACTGGCACATTCATGAGGTTATAATTTTCTGTGTGAGAATGTTGATTTCCTATATCCTGGTCAGCTCTGTTGTCATTTTTTGAGATTGAAGTAGGTTGTTGGGCAATGATATCCCTGGGGTTTTGTGATGTTGAACTTCTATCAACCCCTGTCAAATTGCTAGCTCCATCATTTGTGACGGAATTGACACTGGCATGTTCCAAGTCTTCAGCCTGATCAGCTCTGGAATTTTCACCCCCATGCAAAGCTTGAGTTCCACTGGAAATTGTGTTCCTAAAAATATGATTGGCACCAAGTCTTCTGTTCAACAGTGAAGATTTTTCACTACCAGAAAATTCCTTGATTTGTTGACCATTGTAATGCCCATACATTACTGGTATTTTAATAGGGGCATAACCAATGGTAGAAGGCTCTGATTCTGAACCCATACCAGACCTGATGTTGTCTTTTCTGGTGTTTTCTGGATTAGTATCAATATCAACCACTGGTGAGTTGTTAATTTCAGGATTCATGACAGCATTCAAACCAGAATCCTCCATTCCTGCAACTTGATCAGCCCTTGAATTCACTGCCACCTGTAATTTTTGACGTCTACGGGACATGACATTTCTCACAATCTGATCAGCTCTGAGCTTTGAGATTTTCAAGAGTGATGCTTTCTCCCCACCAATGGAATCCTTGGTTTTTTTACCATTGGTGTCCCCATAGATCACTGGTACATTAGTCAGGACAGGCTCCATGGGGGAAGTTTCCAATTCTCCATCCAGAGCAGCTGTGGTTTCTCTGTTTGGGAGTGGTAAAGCTTCCTGATTGGTTCTGTCTCTTATGTTTTCTTGATTTGAATGACTTTCAATAGCTGGTAAGTTGGTCTGTGTTGAACCAAGCCCTTTATTTTTAGAATTCTGACGTGAATAAACTATAAGGGGCTTCCTTGAAAGATATCCAACCTTCCCATTGATTCTTTCATCATCTTTTTCAAGTGAATTTCCATGCATTTCTGATGAAGTTTGGAGGTGATTGGTTGGGAATGAGGCAGCTTCCTGAATAATTTCCTGGTCAGTGCTTCTTTCTTTGGAATGATTTCCAATCACTGGTGAATTTTTAGTGGACAAATTTGCAAGAAAATCAGGAGAGCTTCCTGATTCTGAGACCTGATCATCTCTGAGATTATTCCTGGAGCTTGAGTCAGTTTCTTGATGAATTTTCTGAGTGCTTTGTCCATCAGGATGACCATCAATTCTTGGTGAATTAGTTTGGGTTGGATAAATCTTATGAAATTTTGACTTAAGATTCATAAGATCTGTCAGGTCTTCCTTTTGGATAAAGCTAGCCTTCTCAAGGCTGTCATCTTTTTTTCTTGAATCCAAATCACTATAAATTGCTGATAAGGCTTTGAAGCGCTTTGTTGGGAGTGATTCATTTTCTGGGATAACCCTCTTGTCATTTTTTTGGGAATTGGGATAACTTCCAATCACTGGTTTCTCACTGGGACTAGGGTTTACATTATCATGAGAATTGGAAGGTCCTAATTCTGACAACTCAACAGGTCTGGGGTGTTGGTCTGAGTGCAATGTAGTTTCCGGATTAGATCCCTTCATGATATTCTGTGTATCCAAATTACCATTAATGACTTGGGAATGGGTTTGTTTTGGAATTTCTTGAAGCTTTAGAGGATGGTTTGAACCCAAATTGCTATAGATTACTGATAAATTTTTGATTTTCTTGGTTGGCAGAAAGTCAGTCATTTGACTGATTCTCTCTTCAGAATTTTGCACATTGGGATCACTGAAAATCACATGTGGTGAATTGGTAGGAGTAGACTTTAAAAAATAATTGGTTAAAGATGGTCCTGATCCTGAAGCATGGAGAGTTATGGGTTGGCTTTTTGAGTTCAAAGCGGTTTCTTGTTGACCATCCTTATTGATGTTTTGTGAATTGGATCTGCTGACATTGACTGGTAACTTCGTCTGGTCTGGATTCACCTCAGAAGCTTCCAGTTTCACTTGATTGCTTGGAATTGAATTTAGATCAATCTTTTGTAGAAATTGCAGGTTTTTGTTTGATTTAAAGTTAGTTGCCTGATTAATGATCTCCTCAGAATTTTGTGTGTTGGAGTAACTACCAATGGCTGGGATGTCATGAGCTGTAGAGATTCTGGTATGAGAAGTTCCTGACTCTGCAACCTGAACAGGTATGTTGTGATTTTTCAAGTGAAAGGAATTTTCCTGGTTAAATCCCTTCATGGTATTTTGTAAATTAGAATTACTTTCAATCACAGGTAACTGGGCCTGGTGATAGTGTGGAGCAAGCTCAGGATATTCCAGTTTTACAGGATGCCTTACCACTGAATTTTGATAAACTTCTGCTAAATTTTGCAGGTATCTGTTTGGGTTTGAATTGTTTTCTTGATTGACCCCTTTCTTATATCGTTGAGAATTGAGATGATTAACAATTGCTGGCATATGAGAAGGGGTGGTATACACAATATCATTGGAGCAAGAGGGTCCTGATTCTGCAGCCTGAACAAGTCTGGAATGTTTGCTTGAGTAAAAGTAATCCTCCTGATCCAATCCCTTCATAGCAGTCTGTGTATGAGATTGACTGACACCCACTGGTGGTTGGGTCTGATCTAGTGCCGCTTCAGGATGTTCCAGCTTGACAGGATGGTTTGCGACTGCATTTCCATCATTTTTTGCAGGATTTGGGAGATGCGTGTTCGCGTGCAAAGCATTTCCCTGATTGGTACTTTCCTTAGATGGTTGTCCCTTGGAATGACTACTGATAAATGGCATATTTCCAAAGGTAGGATAAACGATAGCATTGGAGCGAGAAGGTCCAGATTCTACAGCTTGAACAGATCCGGGGACTAGCTTTGAGAGTGGAGTCGTTTTCTGATTGAAGCCCTTCCCAGCCTCTTGTGCATTGGAGCAACTGGCGCTCACTCTAAACTGGGACTGGGCTGGAGCAACATGGTCACGAGCATATCCCAGATTTACATTTGGAAAGCTTGTTGGGTGTGTGTTCTCCAGTGAGGCAACCTGCCCAAAGATGGTCCCAGCGCGTTGTGCTCCCAAATCACCATGGATCACTGGTGACACCGTCTGGGGTGGATTGAACTGAGGAAATTCCGATTTCACAACCTGATTAGCTATGGGGTAATTTTTTGAAAGTGAGGCAAGCTGCCCAACGACGTTCTGCGCTGGGGGTGGGTCCGAATGGCCATTCATTACTGATGACCCGGCGTGGGACGGAGGCCGGCCGTGAGGAAATTCGGATTTTATAACCCGTTTACCTATCGGACGTTCATGATCATTCAAGAATCCCGCGGAAACCGCCGCGGTGAAAAGATATGCCACAGTCAGTGATGGGATCAGTGCGAAGTAACTTAAAGCCTTCGGAATCGTATCGGCTTACGTTTCTTGTGAGTGTCGAGGCCGGGTAGCTCGCCATGCCACCATTCGTCGTCTACAACTGTTCCGAATAAGTAGACACAATCGTTGAGTCTCGATTGACCCCGACTCCGCACTTTAAATAAGTAACAGACACTCACACTGTTGATTCAAATCAAGGTGTGTTAATTTTGATCTATCGACCATTCCACCCGATGTGGTTTGCGCAATCCTCATGTGATGGACATCCGCTTGTGGCTGCGAGCCTTCGGGCTGCCCACGAACATGATCTAAGACCGCATTCCAACTATTGCTTGTTGACGACACTTCTGATGAAGGATCGAGCCATTTGGGAAAGGTGGCAATCGACAGCTTGAAGCAAAAGATCAAGGCCAACTTGACACTAAATCCTCGAAAATGATTCGTATTCGGCATACTGATATTGGTTCAGATTATGAGGGTTGTCTTTTGCAGCTGTCAACTGGTCTAATCCTCAAGGTGATGAAACGAGTCGTGGAAGTGCCCCGACTATTTATGTTCAGCCAACTGTTGGCAAACACCTTACTTCGACAAACTGAATCGCCCGCACGCAGGCTTCGCAGTGTGGTTTGAGACTCGTGCAGGTTTTGTTGAGGTCTCCATGACGTTTATGAACTAGGCAGTATGAACTCAAGTTCAGCGTCAGACTTACAAAATTTTACTATCACTTGATCCAGTAGTGTCAGACAACAATAATACGGTGTATGTCTTCAACCTCACTGCGGTATGATCCCCTTCAAAATGTCTCGAAGTGACTCAGGGGACCTCAAACTATGCTTGTCTTTGCAGCCGGAAACTGAGAATAGTAAAAGCTCTCGAAAATCGTGGCAGAAAAACAGTTTCTGATGGCCTCATCTTCAGATACAACGGCACCTGACTCCATCGAACTGTGAAAGCGCCAGATGATGAACTCATCTGAAATATGAATTGTGATCACTTGATGACTTTGAAGGTCCAACATCTGTATGCGGATTGTGACCAATGCTCTGACCAGTGCAATCTGCTACTATTGGCAGTATAACGGCGTCAACGTGGCAGTCCGAATACAACTGATTCTGACTCACGCGTTGCGAGGAGTAAATAAGAAAAAGAAACAAGTGTTAAGACACAAGATATTCTTGTATTCTTGAACACCTGGGGTTATGATGGATAAGAATGGATCGAGTTAAAAATCCAGCATGTGAAGAGGCATACTTGATTCTGCCCTGTCCAGCCAAACTACCGACCAGACGTTTCCTGAAGAGTATCATCTAGATATGCGTTGGCCCGGATCAATCTCCTTGAGGATAACTGTTCTCTATCTCTTGCACTTTCACATCGCGAACGGTGCTTTTGTTGAAGAGATAATACAACAAGCTCGTTCTACCACTTCCAACACCGATTCAAGCATCTTTAAGGACCTTGCTGACCTTCCTCATGATATCTTGAGGCCCTGCAAACGCCCAAAGACTCATTACTTGATAGAAGACTCAACTAAGGATGACTTCTGCTCAAATGGCACCGACGAGTCCCTCTGGGGAAATGGAGAGGAACTGCATCACCAATTTGAAGTTGATCCACAAACCCAACCCTCAATTTTTCCCTGCATCAACAGTGGATTCAAGGAGAAAGGTTAGCATGGAGGTGAAGAATTTTGGCTGCAGAAAATTTTCAAAAACTGATCTGTGATTCATTTGGTTTCCAATCGTCTAGAATCTCACCTAGTGCCTGAGAAAGTTGACAGCCTTTGGGGAGAGGGACACAAATTGCATTGTCCAGAAGCAGAATTATCTACTTCAATTTCCAGTGTTGACCATGTCATTGCACTGTGGCAGAAAGGTTAGGTGGAATGTGGTGATGTTTTCTATGAAATATTCTCACAGACTGATCATCTTATTTGACTATATAGACACCCATCAGAGCAACAAGGAATTCAACTACCCTCATGAGGAAGGACCAGAGTTGGGTGCTTATGATCAACAAGGAAATCCACTTGGCCTGCTTCCCATGAAAAAGAGAGTCTTCTCACAAGAAAATATTTCTGAGGATGAAAAAATGGAGATGGAAGAACAAATATACAGATATGATGTGGTGGGTGCCTGTCTGAAAGGAGCAAAAGAAGAATACTTTAATGGTTATAGCATGGTTGATCTTATTCAAAAAGCAAAGAATTCCCTGAGAGATCAGAGCATTGAGGAATTCCGCAAATGGAAACAATTTGATGATAGAATCAAGGAGAAAATTACAGAAATTCTGCAGTTATACATGCTTTCATATAAAACTAAAGGATTAATAATCATGGGGGGTTCATCCAAAAATCAATTTGAAGCTTTTGCATCTTGCAACAAAATTCAAACTAGGATCTTTACAAATTCAAACAAAGATCCCAGTCAAGTTTCCCAGTTTGTCATGAACAAAATTAGAGATGTTGGAGAGTCTTTACATATTTGTCACTACTGGTTCAAGTCAAATGGACTGGAAGAAATGCTAGTTGGAAAAACAACAATGAATGACCAAGATCTTCTTGGATGGTTCTACAATCTAGTCTTTATGGAAACTGGTGATTATCTTCCTCTCCTGGGTCCATTTCAAAACTCAAAAGGACTAATAACCAAACCAATCAATGATGCTCAAGTTTGTTTACTTAATCATCTGATTGTAAAGGGCAAGTTTGGCAGAATCAGAGCTTTCAAAGTTGCTCTTGATTTGATGCCATTTTGGTTCCAAACACAAGACCTTTCCATCACTACTGAAAAGTATAAGAAGCTAGCTGCTTTGGTAATCCAACAAGCAACATGAACTGTTGAATACGGATCAAAATCATCAAATAAAAAATTCTAATCTGTCTTTCTTCTACTATATTTTGACCCATTCATCAATTCCCCATGATTATCTTCTTATTTTTAACTACCTATTTATAATTAATAGTTGAATCATCATTTCTTAACCCAAATTCTCATATCAAATTAAACAGTAATTTAAGCCATTTGGAACTAAGATATGGTGTTGCAAGCGGGTCTGGGCACAGGCCCAAGTTGGGCAAAAAAGGGGCCAAGCGGGCTTGGCCAATTCCCAAGCGCGTGTGGCACCCTTTAAACCCAACTTGGCTCAGATTCAACCCTTGCTTGGCACCTCCCCAATTTGGAGGGGGTTGGACCCAAGCCACGCTTGGCCAAGCCCAAGCGAGGGTGCCACCCGCGCCAAACCTGACCTCACAGGTCAGCTAGGTGGGTTGCGGGTGTGGTGGTGGTGGTAGTTGATGTCGGTGATCTGGTGAGCCCAGAGCTTGGGTTCAGCCAAGCCAGGCTTGGGCCAGTGCCAAGGTCCGACCCCCGCGCGACCTGCCAAATCAAGCCCCCTGGGCGCTGGCCCAGGCCCCGGTGGCGCGAGGACACGCAGGACTGGGGCCTGTGCCCAGACCCGCTTGCAACACCATATTCATGATATAAAACAGATTGACATTCTAGATCTATGTATATTGTTTGTATCCAATCAATATAAATAGGGAAGAGTGAAGAGCCATTGAATTCTTATGCACCAAAGCTGAATTAAGTAGTAACAAGAAATGAAGCAAGGAGAGACACTGAGAATGAATACTCTCAGTGGACCTGTTCAAGGATCAGGGTAGGATATGCCTGAATAATTTTGTGAATAACTGCCAACACAAAAGACAATATGCATATTAAGCTTCCTTTTTGAATTGTTGTTCAAAACAACTAATTGTTTTTATTGTATTGGGCTGGGTTGAAAAATATGCAGGTTTTCCAAATCCTATTTATCATATCAGACACATAAGATGTATTGTAGTGGTAGGGCAATGCTTGCAATACGTACAACATATGAAATTTTGTATATTATTGGCCATCTCAACACACATCCAAGTAATGCTTAGTAGCAATACAAAAGAAAGTGCTGACATGCAAGATAAGTCTAACCCATCAGACATCCCTTCTAGAAGAGTGTATCAATTTCCAAAGAATATCCCTTGGGGAAATTTTCTAGAGGATGTTGAGGTGAACTGGAGCCAACAGGATTGGAGAGGATCAGATTCAATTCAACATGGAGAGAAAAAGAGAAAAAGAAATGAAACTGACCTGGAGCCGACAGGATTGGAAAGGATGAGGAAAAAGGAATCCTTTCCAGTCCTGTTGGCTCCAGTATAAGAACAAATGAAAACAAAAAACATGTCACATATTGTGACATGTGAGAGATGAAAAACAGGAAGAAGCATGATGACAAAAGTAGCTATAGGAACGAAATGAAACTAGTGACATGTATAGCTCAACAGAGGAAGTGTCAGGATAATTGAGGGTGGGTAAAGATTGATATGCAAGAGATTCAGTGGGAGGTTGGCTAACCAATTCTAGACTCAAGTTCTAAGTCAAGGTAGGGAGAGATGGGTGGGGAGCTATTCATCCAAAACTTGATAAAAGTCAATCCAGAATTTGGGCTAATCCTATCAAGTCTTCTTATGATCATGACAATTTTTCTCTCTTCAGAAATGAGATTTTTCAATTCCAGATACCTTCATGAGGGAAATCTTACCCATCCCTCAGTCTCATTCATCACTCATGTTGACTATTGTTTTTTGTTTTTTCTCATCTTCCTCTGGATGAACTCTTGATCATCCTTGCTAGAGAAACCTCCTATTTGGCTTCCTGATCAAGGACAACAACAACATGGCTGGCTGCAAAGGACAGACTTGAGCTGCTGATCAAGTTCTAATTTCTCCCTTTTGTGGTTTTCTTCTTCCAGTTAATTTTTTTATTTTTTATTTTCTCATCATGATCACTGGTTGACTTCAATTTTGATCTATATGGCTATTGGTTCTTTGAGACATGGTTGATGGGCCAACAATGTATTTATCTTTATAAATTCTTGTGATCTTTAAACTACCCTGAAAACAATGTAAATTAAGTGAGACTTATGAATCAAGAAGATGACAGATTAAGTGAGTGCTAAATGTTTGATTTTCTTCCAATCAATCTCCTACAATTGATGCACAGTTACTGGATGACTGGATGGATTGCTATCCAGATGAGACCAATTTCTAGATGGTTAACCCAAACCATCCATTAAACCAGCTGGGAATTGCAAGGTCCAAACTAGCTTGATGGACCTCACATGGTCAGAGCTGGGTTGCAGTAAGCCCCTCCATACTCATGAGGTGTGTGTGTGTTAAAAAAAAGGTATACCAATCTATCCAATTTTGGGCAAAGATAGTAGGCATGTAAGGTGTATGGGGTTCTGACTGGAAAGTTATCAAAATCTGTTTCTTCAGCATCCCTATTCCTAGGGGATTGCTTGCTGGGTTCTTGCCAGAGCCAGACAGTCCAATGAGAGCTGTGGTGGCTGTTGTTAGGAGAAGAATGCAAGTATGAACAAGAGCCTTCAAATGTGCGGAAGAATTGGTTACGGTCACATCGAACTTGAACTCGGTGGTGGTCTGTTGTGATGGTGGGATGCCAGTGATGATGGGTATAAAGTGTTCCAAGATGGTGTGATGAGTGGATTGGATGATGTGTTTTTTTATTGTAGTCTTTGTTTTTTGTTTTTTGTGTTTTTTGGCTCGGGCTCTCCTCTGGATGGCTCAGCTAGTTCTTCCCACTAGATCTCCTCCATGAACCACTCACCTCGACAAATCCTAGCTCATCAGCCCTTCGACAAGAATATACTCCCATTCCTCAACCTCCTCCGAATTTATGTATCACTCTATCTCGAATGGAAAACAACAGCGAACAACAACCACCAACAACACCACAATGGGTAAGCATTCACTATAACATAACATAAACTAAAACTAACCCAACCCAACCCAAACACATCTTTAGACATCATCAGCACACATCAAACCACTCAAGCTACCAGCCAAAGTACTACAGAGGAAATCAAAACCAAAACCACCAAACACTACTGAAACCAAGAACTCACCAACAAGCAACAACAACAACCCAACTCATCACTCAAGCAATCTACCCAACCACTCCCACCATACAGCCCAACCAGCAATCAGGAACTATGCCTACCCAACAACAACAACAACAACAACAACAACCAACCACAGCAGAAACACCCTCAACTCAAGAACAACAACAACAACAACACTACCATCCTCATCAAAGGTCCCAATCCTCAGTCGCTCAACCTCTTACTCTCAATATCAACCAGCCCCATCATCATCATCATCATCATCATCATCATCATCAATCCAGTACCACTACCTCAAACATAGACCACCCTCACCCACCCCATCCTCATCCTCATCCACCACCACAGATCTCTTCGCAGGCCCACGAACATCGATCCATCTCGACCCACTCACCGGTGAACTCCTCTCGGCTGCTCACGATGTCAGCGCAATGGATGCACTCATCGACACCCTCAAGAATGACCCCTCCTCACCACGCCTCAAACCACATCCACGTTCATCCACCAGGTCAAACCCCCAGCCCCATCCTTCCACCAACCCCTCCTATTCAATCCGTCCATCCAACATACCTAGGGCCCGTCCACCACCCTCATCAATAACAACAACAACTACTACTACTACTACTAATACTACTACTGGCACTAGGATCGGAAAGATCCATAGTCTATCTACCAATGACCTCACCGATCACCAATCATCAAACCTGGCTATTGACCTCCAACAGCCTAGCCAGTTCAACAGACCCGATCTATTCCCCCACTCGCCCCACTTCAACCCCCGTGAATCAACCAGATCAGCTCAATCCAAACTCTCTCTCCGCTGCCTCTCAAGATCATCCCATCCCTCCCAGCTAGTCCAATCAAACCCCTCCTCCAACCTCACCTCACCCATCCAAGTTACCTCCCCCTCCCAAGTACATCTAACCTCAGCACCACTCCCAACCCCTCCACTCTCAGCCATCCCGAGCATCAATGGAATCATCGAAAAATACTCCAAAAAACTTCACTATCCTCCTGTTCCTCCGGCTCGATCCCCTCAGCTGAAGATTGACTCAATCGATGAGATTGTTGAAAAGTATAATCCAATCCTCAAACGTTCAACCCGTCAAGACTTCAATCAACAACAACAACAGCAACAAAAACAGCAACAACTCACAACTCATACCCAATCTAATCCCAAACACCTCTCGCCCGTCCAAGATAAGCATCATCCCACTGGTTTACCAATCACTCGGCTTCGATCGGTATCCGAAAACTCTGATGATTCCCATTCTTCCATCAATTCACTCACCAAGGAAGCCCTCTCACTTCAGACCCTACTCTCCAAGCAAACCGAACGAAGCTCTCAGCCTACCCATTTCATCAACTCTCCATCCGGCTCGCCCAAGTTACGTCAACGGGATCCCGATTCGATCTCCAAACGTAGCTTCAGTCCTACCCAACGTTCCCCAATCAAACCATCCACAATGGCTGAAGATCGTGCATCAGCAAAATCACAAGCGGACGATCAAATAGCGCTCTACCTACGTTCGACTCGTCTAACCACCTTGATCAAACTGCAAAGACAACAGAGTCCGATGACCGTCTCGCTAGCCGATGTAGGCTCACCCACCGGCCATCCAGTCATCGTCTTCCTCGGTCTAGGCTGTGTGCGATATCTGGTGGGATTGTATGACGAACTAGCGGAGGCGCTTGGGCTACGTATCATCTGTATCGATCGCTGGGGTCTGGGCAAGACCACCGAGGTACCGGACGAGCAGCGCGGGTTCCTGGAGTGGGCCTCGGTAGTCGAGGAGGTCGCCGACCAACTGCTGCTCGATCGCTTCTCGATTCTCGCTCATTCTGCGGGCGCGCCTTACGCGCTAGCCTCTAGCCTCAGACTCGCCGACCGCGTCTACGGTTCCATCCATCTTCTCGCGCCCTGGGTCAGCATGACTGCCGAGGGCGGGATCAATGCGGGCGCCTACAAGTGGCTCAAATACATCCCTAACTCGATGATCAAGACCGTCCAGGCGGCCGAGTGGAAGATGACCGGCTGGCGACTGGGCAAGCCCCCGAGTCTGAACCATCCGCCCGTCGGCTTTGACGCCCGGGCTCCCGTCTCCTCCAACCATCCTTCCCAGCTGGCCGACCTCGATGAGGAGGAGCCCCGGACGAGTCTCGAGGATGAGCTGGAGAGTCACCGACCCTCTCATCCGCCACCGCCGCCGATCAGACGGGCCTCGAAAAAGAGCGGGACATCGAGCGAGGAGGTCGAGCAGAGCTACAGATCTCGCATCAGTCTCGAGTCCAACGATCGTCGATCGATCGTCACTGACAGTTCAATGGGCCGGTCCAAGAACAGTACACGATTCAATGGCTCCTCCTCCTCCTCGCCATTGGCCACTAACAATCACTCGCTCAAGGCCAACCTCTTCGGCAAGATATTCAACTCCCAATCAGGACCATCCGAGAACTCTTCACATCATCACTCCTTGAAACCTGCAGATCCTTCTTCCCCCTTCGATCACCACAAATCCTCTACCCTCAATCGAGTCTCTCCTAATACTACTCCGCTCCCTCTCTTTCTTAACTCTGTCGCCTCTCCCATACCCTCTTATGGTGGTAGTTGTGAAGACGAAACGGATGAGAAAAACGGATTTATTGTTAATCATCACAAAGATAACAATCATCTTCCGATTTACTCTAATAATAAGAGAACCGTAAGTCCTACCCTCCCCCAATTGTTGTTGTTTTTTTTCAAGTAAAAAAAGTACTAATTTTTTGTTTTTTTTTGGTGGGGCATGATGTTCAGTCTCAGAAGATGAAGTCATGTTACAGTGAATCCAAGTGTAGTAGTAGGAAGAAAGCAGAAGATATGACTGAAGAAGGAGCGCGAAGGACACGGAGTCAGACGATGTTACAGCAGCCGATCAGTCGCCAAGCGAGCAGCAGTAGCCAGAGTCAACCGCCGATATTGCCGATGAAGCCAGAAGACGAGGGCGCCGGTGGGAGCCAGCAGAGCCACCACCAGAGCACCAGTGAAGGGAAGAGTCGGGTGCGCAGGTCGCTGGGGATCAGTCTGCTCCGGGCCTCGTATTCGGAGTCCTTGCGTGGAGGCACCTCGGATCTGATCACGATCCTGGAGAAGAACTCGAAGCCTTGGGGGTTCTCGTACGCTGAGATCGACAAACCGGTGAAGATCTGGCACGGCGATAAGGACGAAAGACTCTCCTTCAAGGGCTCTCAATGGTTCATCAACTCCATCGATAAACTTCACGTCAAGAATCAGTCCTCCTTGGTCATCGTCAGAGATGCAACTCATTCACTCATGACTGACGTCAACGTCCTCTATCAGGTCTTCGAATCTATCGCCGATCAGTGGTCCGCTTCTGCCTCTTCGCTCCATCTTTCACCGGCTGCTTCTGTTCCTTTTCCTACTCCGAATCCTTAATCTTCTTCTTCTCCCCCCCCTTTTTTTCTTGAGTTCTTTTTTTCTTTTCTTTATTATTATATCTCCCCGTAATTTATTTTTGTCTTTTTCTTTTTGTTTCGAAGCATTCTCTATATTGTTCATCAACTACTAAACCTCCATTTTTAACTCATTCTAACCCAATCATTTCTATCCCTTCCTTTTCTCTCTTCTTCTTTTTGATTTGATTTGATTTGATTAATCAATTTTGTTTTTCATGTATCATTTACGTCGTCCATAGTCATTTGTTCAGCCATCTAATCTCTTTTTTTTCCTTTTTGGTTTCTAAGCAGGACAATCGTGTTTGTGTTTGTGTGTGTGTGCAAATCATCATCATTATCATCATCATGAACAATATTCTGTTGGTTTTTTTTTCGTGTTCTGAATTCTTCCGTAATTTACCCTTATCATTATTCTTTGGTTTAATCACGTTGGCATTGAAGTTGTGTAGATAAATAGATTGATGTTTTCTTTCATTATAATATTCATTTGTTTTTCGTTTTGTTCTTTGATTTGTTTCTTTATCAAAGGGGTTTTCTTTTTGGGAGGGGAGGGGGGGGAGGGGGTGTCAATCTACTTCGACGGCTATGATGTGACGACCAAACACATCAATCACTCTGACCATTAACCAACAACTTTGGTTCCGTTTGGAGAGAGAGAGAGAGAAAGCGGCGATTGGTGATACAGATAACAGAACCCTCATGTATTCAATATGTGATCTTGAGAAAAAGATGATGTGAGTGTTGCACTTGCACTTGTACTTGAAGAAGAAGAGAGAAAAAGAGCCGAGAAAGATAGATAGGAAGTGGAGATCAGGGCGGCCGTGGAGTCAATTCATCCAACAGTTGCAAAACAGAAGGATGCAAGAAGAACGTATGCATGTAAGTATCTTGAAAAGGGTTCTTGAATCGACTTTCGCGTTCTTGACAGTGCTTGCAAATGGGACCTTGAAGGTGTGGGATTGGATGTTGTGGTCACTGGTGGTGCTGCTCTAGTTGGAACTCGATCAAGGCCTGACCAACACAACATCACTCCACAGCTCTGGACCGTCACCAACCACGCCATATATTATACCGAACTTTGTTTCGTTATCATCTTGTCTTTTTTTCTTTGTTCCCTTTGTAAAATATGTAGATGGGTGTCTCTCTGTTCTCATTGATATACATATCTGCAAGCCTCCTCTGGGAAAAGCCACAATCAAAGAGCTGCAAAAGTGTTTGTTTATGGGCGGATTAGATATATTTTGTACTTGGAAGTGGGAGATAAATTATTGCAGAGAATAGTGTTACTTGTATTTATTGGGACAAACAGTCCTTACTTTTGAGTTCAACAAATGTCAATGATCAACCGATGTACGCAAGTCGAGAAGAAAGACAGACTTGAAGAAGAAGAAGAAGAGTTCAAAAATAGTAGAGATAGAAGATAGACTAGGGAGATGAAGGAGGAGAAGAAGCTCAGATTCTCGGACGCTTGAGAGGGGAGCCAGAGCTATGGTCTTCCAGTCCCATGAACCTGGTCAGCTTGTTGACCCTCGGCTTCGGCCTGGCGCGGCTCCTTTCTCGACTCTTCATCAGAGTCTCCATATGATCTAAGCGATTGGCCAACGATTGAACCTGTTTTTTTTTTTTCGTCATTAACCGGAATATAGGGAAAAAAAAAAAAACGAGCGATTGAAGGGTTCCAAGGATCAAGTTCATCAGGAGAACGTTATACATCAGAGGATTACTTGGCAGCCAGGTAACGAGAGGAGGGGAGCTTACAAAGACCGGATCGAGGGCCGACAAACTAGCCGGGAAAGCAGGCTGCAGACACAAATCCAAGAGAAGAAACATCAGACGAGCCGCAAGAAAGGAGTGATAGAAGGGGACATCTCACCGGCGCCGACGCGCCCGGTTCCGGGTCCTGGGCAATGCTCATCGGTGTATCTGGGGCGTTGGATCGGATGGTGCCCTTCGAAGCTAGTTGTTGCGTCTCTCCTTCTAGCATCGTCAGTCGACGCTGTACGTTTTCGAAGAGTATTCGGCAACTTTCTCAGGTCGATTGCCTTACACACACTTTCTCTCTCTCTCTGCCTCTTTCTCCTCACTCTTTCTGTGAAGACTATCCAGACGGAGAGAGAGAGAGAGAGCAGGATAAGAAGAAGAGAAACGAAGAACTAAAAAAACGCTTACGGAATGCTCCTGAAGTAGTATCTCCTATCGATATAACAAAAACATTGCGAGCTTCAGTCTAAAAGAGTGGGGGAGCAAGGGAGGGAGACGGATGAGACGATTGTGCGATTTTGAATCTACTTACAAGCCTTCCAAGGATTTCCTCTATTTCCCGGACCCTAGCTTGCAAGGGGGCAGACTGAGGAGCGGATTTGAAGAAGCGTCTACCATGACTGGAAGAGGAGGCCGGTTTCTCCTCGGCTTGGAGAGTGGAGCTGGACCCTTGCGCGGTTCCTCGACTGTCGGCTTTCTCCTGATCGTCTGAGGACCGGAAGAGATTTTGTATCCGATGGTATTGGTTGGCAGCCCGGTCGGCAAGACTGCCGACGATTCCGTCGAGGTTTCGCTTCTCGCTCGGCGGATTGCTCGGCGGGAGATCGGTCCGCTTGCGATTCCGGAGCAGCCAAGTGTTCGTGCTCGATGGTGGTTTGGACATCACGAAGTTTGCTCTGCAGTTTCCTACAAGTCGAATTGATGCTATTCTAGAGAAGAAAAAACAATGATTATTATAAGATGTAATGGAAGAACAAACACGCTTTCTGGTGCTAACACTTCAGAGGCATCTCCTTACACAGTCCAGCTTATCCCCCAAACTGCAGGAAGAGCCGAAAGAGGTAAGACGAGAGCTCAGCCGGCTTAGGCAACCTCGCCGAGCATGCGCCAGTCTCCGAGATTGAGCGCTGTTCTTCCGACCTGGCGACTCCATGGATCTCGCTTCTGCAGAAGTACATTCATTCCTAATCCGAAGCCCCCAGCGCTTCTTCGATAATTAAGCCATGACTCGAGTCGCCTTAAACGTGGACCCCCATGCTCCATCTCCCGTCATTTCAGATGGCGCCCACTCGCGACCCTCGTTTGTCTTGTTGCAAAGCGCGTCGGCTGGTCCGCCTGCTGCTTTTGGAAGATCTCCGGCGTGTATACCATTTTAGGCAAGTGTTCAAGTTCGGACCGGGCATTGCAATTTGCAGCCGGGTCGCGACGTCGACATCTCGCTTGTTGTTCTACAATAAAACCAGCGGGTGTTTCCGCCGCGCTACATACATGGATTCCGTGATCCATCAAACTGGAATGTTTACATCCTATCGGTGGCCATGAAGAAAAAAACAGCATCAAGAATTCGGGGGAGTGCTTGAAAAGTTGTTTCGCGTGGATGTCTGAGCACGTCTGGCTAGCAGAACTTGCAGCAAGCATTGCTTGTGGGTTCATAATTTGTGTACTGAAACGACCACCACCAAACACCAACTTGGATCCTATTGATTTTGGATCTTCGACTTTGCATATTTTCCAGTTGGGGCGCCTAGCTTGGAGTTTGGTCGGAATTCTCCTGCAAGTGCTAGCACGATTCGTCAAAGTGGTGTCTGATTCCACGTTCCCGATGAAACGAGACGCGGAAGCCAACAACTCAGACTCGCCGGACAAGTATCCTAAATGCACGGCTGAAAAGGAAGGAGCAGACCAAGAGCCTGCAACCATCAGCCCTAGCTCAACTCGGTATGTATAGAATTCCCTTCCAACACATCACACCTGGTTCAACAATTCTCTGGAGAAATTGCTGATTATGTCGTGTTTATCCATTTATTCGCATCCTGCTTTCTGCTGCCTCTCCTCGAGCTCCAAGACCCGATCGAGAAACTCAAATGTGAGTTAAAAAAGCCCCCGAGTCCATAGTGCAATTTTTTTGTTTAATTTTCAGATTTTGAACTCTCTATCCTCCAACTGAAAATATTTAGATTGGATAGACAATTGAGGTAAGCCCACCTCGCCAGTCGGTTTCGTTTTCGACCTCAGATGACCAACTAATAATGGTTCTTTTGCGGAGCAGGCTTTGGGGGAACTGGGGCCAAGAGCGTCTCAAGGATGCGGGAGTAGGGATTTGCGATTCGTCTGCTACTTCGACTCAAATCGCCAAGAATTTAATCTTATCTGGAGCAAAGTCTGTCTTGATGATGGATACAGCCAAAGTCCGCCAATCAGATATCGGAAATAACTTCTTTTTAGAGCAAGCAAGCTTAGGAAAAACTCGTGCGGAAGAGTCTGGTAAATTACTCGAGCAATTAACTTCAACATTCAAATATCATCCAGTTTATTGGCATGACTGGGAATTCTATAACGAGGATTTCTGGTGCGAATTGGAAGACATAGATGCATTAGCAGACTGGAATGCCTTCATCGGTGTCCGAATGGTCAAAGCCGACGAAGAGGTCACCAGTCGCTTCGGCTGGGGATTCAATGTACCCACTTTTTCGGTTCAGACTTGTGGCCTGGTGGCAAGTATTCGGCTCCAGATTCGAGAACTATATGGTAAGCCCACTCTTATTAGTATACATGCCATTAATCCTCAGCGTAACACTTTCAGCCGTTACCCTTCTTATCGAGGCAATTAATCAGTCTGTCTTCAATTCGTTCATTGTTTCTTCCGATTCTGCAAGTTTTCCAAACGCCTTCCGACTCCTTTGTCGATCTTCGATTGGATTGTCCCTTTCCATCCCTCTCTACATTCGCAAACTCGTTCGAGATGGACAAGATGAACCATCGTGAGCATGCGCACGTTCCGGCCGTTGCAATAATCGTCCACTATTTGGAAAGGTTCAAGTCTAAAGTCAGTGTGATGGGGATCTTATTTGATGCAATGAAGATCACCTATTTAACTTCCTATCAATATACTTATACATACATCTGTCGAATTATAGCATGACGGGAAGCTACCTCAAGATTCGACTCAGCGAGCGGAATTAAAGGAGATGATCTTGGCTGAGAAGAGAGACGTGGATGAAGAGAACTTTGATGAAGCGGTGAACTTGATTGGGAATGCATGTCAACCAACCGAAGTAAGATCTTTTGAGATCACAATGTAAACTCTCTGCGTTAAGAATCCGGAATTCTTTTTCCAACTTACCATAAACAATCTTTCTCATCAGGTGCCCACACACATCCAAGAATTATTCGATGATCCTTACTGCGATAAAGCACCCTGGTTCGACGGAAGCTTTTGGTTACTGGTCAAGACTTTACGAGAATTTGTCAAACGGGATCCCAACCATCAGCTACCTTTATCCGGGGCCATCCCAGACATGAAATCCAATACGAAAAACTATGTCAAGATGGAATCAATTTATCGTCAAAAAGCTTCAGAAGACCTGCAAACTTTCAATAGTATATTGGACGACGTCAAAGACTCATCAGAACCTGATGACGATGACAATGACGATGACAATGGCGAAACGGAAACTGAGTCGGGATTCCATCACTATGGTCCCGAATATCAGCTCTCTTCGGAAATGATCGAGACTTTTGTGAAAAACTGTGCACACATACGTTTGATCCGAGGAAGCAAATATACCAATGATCAGCCCAAAGATTTGAGTGAGTGTTGTTATTGATCATAAGCAGGTCAGCTTGATTCCGAAAGACCCCGGCTAACGTGGTTTCTGACATCCGGTCATCTACTGTTTTCTGAAATAATAAAACTCATTTCGAAAGTGCTCAAGTTCAGCAAGGAATGTGAACCTGGTAATCAAGAATTCACCGCAAATTGGTTTCTAGGATTTCAAGCATTGTCCGCTTATCGGTTGGCCAAACAGGGCGAATATCCTGGGATGCGGAAGGGACAAGAAGAACATGATTTCAATTCCCTTTCAGAAATCGCACTCAAAGATTTAATCCGACGTGGGTGGGACAAGGACGAGAAAAAGGTACCTGAAAAACTTGCAAAGGTATTGAAAGAAATGTCAGTGCCCCTCTTCATTTCTTCGTTTGTGACATTTCTTAGATCAAAGCAGATTGGTTCTTTTTTTTCTAATGTGTCATTTTTTCCCCACATGTCTTGTTGATGTTATGTGCCAACAGGGTCAGATCGTCTGGGTCGGAATTACCACACATCTCAAGTATAGTGGGTGGTTTAGTTTCGCAAGAAGTGATCAAAATGACCACAGGACGGTATGTGCCAATGAACGGGATTTGCATCTTTGATGGCTATAGATCAACAACTGGAGTCCTAGAATTCTAACAAGTCCCTGGAAAACTTCATCACAATGTATACCTTGTCTCTGCACATCTTGTGCTTTGTTGCTTTGTGAAACTATTTGTTGCAGCAAAGATCACTGCCACTAAGCATTCACTTTTGCACATTGGTCCCAATGTGGAAACAAAAATGCATGGTAGAATTGATTCCAAAGAATTCCCTCCTAGCACTTTGATCATGTGTGAGTGCCCACATCAGATGCTAACTCATTGGGTTGGGATCACTATAGAAAGTACCTGTAGTCCATGAGTTTTGGATACAATTCTGGACCATAACTCCTGTGAGATTTCATACTAAGAGAATCAATTAACTAGGGTCTTCATTGAGTGCCAGGCCATCAACCCTCAGGATCAATTTTTTGGGGATGTCAGGGGATGGTTGACAGGCCAAAACTTTAGCCCACAATCCTTCTGTGTTTCACCTCATTTTAGGAAAGCTTGCACTAGTTTGCAACTTGGCTGAAAGGCATCCTCTCCTGCTAACTGTAGGATTAAATTATACCAAATTTGTCAAGTTTGATTTTTTTTTGTCATTGAACTAAGTAATACTGGAACATCTCACCAGATGATATATGTCCCCAGCAGATGGCCCTTCCCATCATCTTCCACAAGCAACTGGCATTCACCAGTCATTACCTGAAACTCTTCCCCAACCAACTTCATGGCCTTCATTGGAACAAACATAAACAAAATCCTCAACCATCTCATGGATGCTGACTTGGGCAGGAGTATATATCATCAGTGGGTTAAAACAGTAATCTGTAACACATTGGGATGTCAAGGTTCTGAGTTGAGACAGTCAAATTGGATGGTTGAACAACTAGACCATGAGGAAAATCTGTAAAGGTGCAGTGACTGTAATGGTCCCAATCTCTCCAAGCTGGTTTGGCAAGTTAAGATATCAGTAATCAAAGCATCACCAGATTGTTCCTGAAAGAAACAGAAATCTGATGGATTTGTCAGTGTATGTATGTACATATGGTATAAGTTTTTTGAAGGTCCTTTGTAATAAATTCAATGTTACATGAGCTAAGTCTGATTTAGAGCATTTGCATTGGTTAGGTTATGTCACCATGTTGAGGCAAGCTAGCCCAACCAAGCCTGTTTGCACACTCGCATCAATGCAAGGTTACCAACAGGTTAGTTAACTAAAAGTTTGACTTCAGCTTTGTGGTTGCTAAATTGAACAATCATTATCCTGAGATCAAGTGATTTTGCAAGTAGTTAGTCCTCTGGGGGTTTGTTAGCCCAGAGTGTTTGATGCCTAGGCTATCTAACATGGACCTCTAACCCAGGTTTACCATTCTAAAGCTTAATCAGACCAATGTTATTGCTCATAACACTCAGAGAATCTGCATTGGTTGAGTGGATTAGGTAGGATTAGCAAGCCTGGTAGCATATTGGCATAAAAAAGGTTTGGCAAGGGTTAAAATTGTACCCAGCTAATCCAAAATTGACATTTGGACTAGTTTATTCCACTTTGATTGGTACCAACACTGGGAAGTTACATACGTTACGATATCCGAAGGGATTTTCGTAACGTAACTTCCCAGCTGTCCAGATAACACCTTTAGCGTTATCCAGACAAAATGGGGTTTTGGGTCATGAGTAACGTAATGAAGGGGGTTTCTCCCCTCGTCACCCAGAAAAATAACGCAAACAACAAGTTATCTGCGTTATTGATCTAGTTATTCATTTGTTAATTGACCTTTTTGCGCTGTGGATAACGTAACGACAAAAAAATAAGAAAAAATAAAAAATAAAACGTAACGGAAAGGCCCTTGCAATTATTGCAACGCTAACAGCCCTGGTTTCGTTGCGTTATCGTTACACTACCGTTACTGGTAGCGTAACCTCCCAGTGTTGTTGGTACCATGCAGTAGAGGGGTGGGATTAAGTACACTAATCCATCCCAATCTGCTCACCAATGCAGACTATCAAAGTTACAAAGCCTGATGCATACATATTCACAAGCTGAAAATTTTCAGAACATTCAAAATCAACCTTTGCTCACGTCTTGGAAAGTACTGGGCTTTGGTGGACACTGCCCCCTTGAAAGCAACATCCCATGAGTGAACTTGACTACATTATGCATCAAAATTCTGGTTTTCAAAAATCACAGGGGTCTTGCAAAAATGAATCCCAAGTCTCAGTCAGACAACTCCCAGGATGTAGCAGACACCAATTTTTGAATCTGTTTGACAAGTTTGGCAAACAACTTGGGAGTTGTTGAACAGAACAATCCCCTCAAGAATTTGGGACTATTTGTTGTACTTTTGCTAGACCTTTATTGTGCTTGTTTGCTTTTTTTCTTATCATGTCACTCTTTCTGTGATGCAAAGCATTTTTTTTGTGTCTATTCATGATGATTCAGCATTTCCCACAGCTTGATTGATCAGATGTATATAGTCTATTTAATCACCTACACAGAACAAATTGAGGACAATCATCAGTTCTGGCCGCACTGTCCCTCTGAAGACACTTCAGCTTCTTTGGTATCTTATTACAAAGACACTTTAGCCCCAATTGGTTTTATAGGTTACATTTCAGACCTTGTTTGACTTTTGCTTTGCTAACTGTCCCTTTATCAGCCATTGTTTGAAAACTATTCAGAAAAACAAGCAGGAGTGGTTTCAACAAGATTTACATACTGATTTTATAATAAAGAGAATGTGCATGAGCTTCCTCAATAATCAGATTTTTGTTCTATTATTTCAAGAGAAAAAATTGATTCCTCTGGGGGGTATGGTTGTGACATATGGATGTTTCACATTGATTCATTCCTCATCCTCATTAGGCAGCTCTTGAGGCAACTGGATGCCAGTTTGTTCATCTGGTGGCTTGGTGACACAACACTCATATAGGTTGTGACGATTGGCACACCTTCTTTGAGGTACAAACACCGCAGTATAGCACTGATTGCAGTAGAAGATGGAGACTGGTATACGACTTGTGCACCAAGCATTTTTCCAGCAGCGCATGATTGTTTGCTTGTATGGTTGGGATGTCTCAACATGTGACACAGGGTGGCACTGGGGGCAGATCCGGGCTTCAAACTCTATGACATGGGCAGCAACCAGTGGGCATGGGATCATGAGGGTACAGATAAGTGCCAGACAGGAGGTGAGTGTATGGGTTTGCATGGTTGGAAAGGCGACCTTGAGAACTTCTTGGCATGGGATTTGAGCAGAGAACTTTGGAAGCTCCCAACAATCTTTGAAACACCGCAGGCTCTTGAAGTGGGATGAATTATACACCACTGTGCCAGCAAGGTGTGATTGGAGAAGCAACTTTAGGATACTTATGTAACCCTAACTTGAAGCAAGTCCCATGCTTCTGTGTGCTGGCTGGTGCTACTTTTGGAGCAAGCATCTAACAGAGGAACTTGTGCCCTACCATATACCCAAGCTTGCGTGTCACTATTGAGGTTTTTTTGTATCAATTCTTGGAGCACCACCCCAAATGCAGTTTTACTTTTTTTGGAGGCATAATCACCTCAAAGTTGACTCAGACCATGTTGTCAACCTTCTCATCAAAATTTGAGAGATGTCCACTGATAACTGAATGAAGAATAGTTTCTTGAAAACCTGTGGAATATTAAAAAATTCCAAAAATTGAGCTTGCACTAATTTAGTTTTATGGTACTTAAGCTACCAAACAAAGCCCCTCAATTGGAGGGCCTGGTGTAGCCAGGCTGGTACAAATCCAGCCTTGACAACAGGGACTTGCACCTCATTTGGGTTTTTGGTGTAAAAGCTGAGGGTGGTTTAGTTAGTAGGGAAAAAATTTGCCTACAGCATTTCCTCCACGTACTTCCTTGTCAAGATATGTTCAGCTGTTTGGTTTTGGTTTGTCCTATTGCTGACACTTGGTTGTTGAGTTGTGCTATCTACATAAATATATATTGTTATAACTTGCCATTGGGATGGTTGGCAGTTAATTCGGAGCATTATATTGATTTTGTGTGAGTGGTGTTGTTTGATCGTTGGAGTCTTGTGATCAGAGGACATCGAGAATGATTTGTTAATGAATTTGTTTTGATTTATTTCTTGGCTATGGGCTAGTGTTTTCTCCGAATATTAAAACCTGGTTTTAATTCTCCTTTTGAATTGTTTACCACTTTTTTATGAGATTATGTCCATTTTTTATTTTTCACGCCTTCGATCGTCATAAGAACACAACTCGTTCCTCTTGACCATCTCAACAAAAGGAAACACTCCAAGCTCTCTCTCTCTCTCTCTCTCTGTCTGCTTATACTCCCTTCGTTCCTTCAGTAACTTAAAGCCAACAACTCCTTCAACATCATTCAATCAACTCCCATCTTCAACTTGGCTTGCCTTCGAATCCTCAAACTACCGTCCTTGGGGCGATTCACTTGCCGACCCCGTCCAAAGACTCGACAAGCATCTCTTCAGAAGCCTGAACACTCATCCCGATCTCAAATTCAATTATCCACTTCCATCATGGCTGACATCAGTTCCAGTTGGCGATCGAATTCCAATCGAAACACGGCGCTCTACCCAACTGCCGATCATTCTCATCATAACCCTTATAGTGAGATCAACAATCAATACTATTCCCAGCAAGCTCATCCGCCAAGGGCCAGCAACGGGAAAGGACGGGGAAGAGGGAAAGCTAAACGTTCAGGGGGTCCGCAACGCCCAAACTTCTCCCATCTCCCTCACCTTGGTTATCCAATCTACAACTCCCAAGAGATCCGAAAATTTTGGACTGCCAACCTTCCACCCCGGCCTGAGTGGAGTCAAAACCCTAAAGGTATCCTCAACAACTTTTGCCAACACCTTACGCACCCTCTCCCCAAGTACCACTCTCAGCAAGTCATTCTTCCTGGATTTACACAGCCTTTATTCCGGTACGTCGTTTGGGATTCATCTCATCTTCTGTGGTTTGGTGTTGTTTTATTTATTTTGATCACCAGCATATACTGATTGATTTTTTTTGTATTAATGTTAGTGCAACTGTTCATCTTGAGATTGCACCCGACATAGTAGGAATTGGGGACGATCTTAGTAAAAAAGAAGCTGAGAAAATCGCTGCCCTCTCAGTATGTTTTCAGCTTGGTATGAAGAATATGTTTGATGAAAATAATCTACCGGTCTCATCCTTGAATGCGCCGCCGGATGGAAAACCTCGAAATTTGATGCCTGACGGCACCCAACTCACACTGGACCAAGCCAAAGCTTACATGAGTTTTTACTGTCGCAAGTTCAACTTTGGCAGCCCTGAGATTCAGTACGAGAATGGAAAAAAAGGTCGTCCAACCTGGATAGCTACGATTTTCGTGGGTGGTCGAAAGATCGGACTCGGCCACGCTGTTAACAAAAAGGACTCGCTCAATGAGGCTTATATAGACACTGTCGTCTATCTAGGGGAATGCGATCCTGACCTCTGGGTAGAATTCCGCCAAAGTGCCGAAAGTCAAGAGGCCGCTGCCGGTGGGACCATTCCCGCAGTTGTCTTCAAGCTAAGCAACCAGACAGAACAAGATCTGCGTCAAATCGTGTATTCTTCCATGGATTGCGAGCTCTATCGACGCGCCAAGACCTTACTCGAACGTACTCGTGGATCTGCTTCCGCCCCTCATCAAGCTAATCAAGGTACTGCCAATAACCCTAGCCGCAAAAACCAAACCAACAATACTAGTAACTCTCGCCAATCGGCCCTCAAGGAGAAATCATCTGCCCTCAGAGACCGGCTAGATGCTTATCAGACCAACACTTCACCTGAAGTTGTCAAATTGCGAGAACAACGTCAAAGTCTACCTGTAACTGCTCACTCTTCCGTGGTATCCTCTGCCCTGGCTTCCAACCCCATCACGATCCTAATGGCGGCCACTGGATCTGGAAAAACGACTCAAGTTCCCCAACTTATTCTGGACGAAGCAACTATGAAAGGGGAAGGCGCAAAATGCAATATCATCTGTACACAGCCTCGGAGAATTGCTGCCATCAGTGTGGCACAACGAGTTGCCGCTGAAAGAAATGAAAAGCTCTCGGAATCAGTCGGCTATCAGGTTCGGTTCGAATCAAAGCCGCCGACCCCAGATGGTAGCATCTTATTTTGTACCACTGGGATTTTCCTCAGGAGACTTCAGAATGATATGGATAGTGCGACCGGGGGATTTCTGGATTCGATCACTCATATTGTTGTCGATGAAGTTCATGAACGCGATATCGAGACCGATTTGTTGTTGTTTTGTCTGCGCCGGGTACTTAAAGATAGAAAAGAAAAAGGAAAATCGGAGATCAAGGTCTTACTAATGTAAGCTTATCCTTTCCTCTTGATTTTCTTTGCTTAAAATGGAATGCTAGAACTCACTTTCTCCCCAATTCACTTATCAGGTCCGCCACTGTAGACCCCACATTGTTTGAGCAATACTTCTCTGACGGTAATGGCGGTAAACCAGCCCCAGTCATCTCGATTCCTGGACGATCATTTCCGGTTGAAAAACATTATTTGGAAGAAGTTCATCGTGATCTTCGTCAGCTCAACCTTCCAACTGCTCGCGGTGGTTGGGTTTGGGGAGACCCCAAAGTGCAAAAATACACACAGCGAGAATTACAAGAGCCCCTAGCCCTAGACCCAGTTACTGGAAAGTCTCTACGTGACAGCGATGATTTGGAAATGCCGTTTGCACTCATAGCCCTAGTTGTTGCCTGGGTTTTGTCTAAATCTTCAGAAGGTCATGTCTTAGTTTTCTTGCCCGGATGGGAAGAAATCAAAGGCGTTCAAACCATTCTCACCGATCCAAGACAATTCCCATTGCTCAATCTAAATTTCAACGACTCGTCAAAGTTTGAAGTTCATGTGCTACATTCAGCCATTCCGGTCGCTGACCAGCAACTAGTTTTCTCGCCCCCGCCTAAAGGCGTCAGGAGAGTGATCCTCTCTACTAACATAGCGGAGACATCCGTTACCATCCCAGACGTTGTGTTTGTTGTGGGTACGTCAATCCTATCTCTCACACTTACTCTCTGGGGCTCTAATTGATTCAATGCGATTCAACTTGATTATGTTATATGGTAGATACTGGGAAGATCAAGGAGAAAAGGTTTGATCCTGAGCGTCATCTATCATCTTTGATCACAGCCTGGGTGGGTACCTCCAACCTCAACCAACGAGCTGGGCGAGCAGGACGACATCGTTCCGGAGATTATTATGGGTTACTTAGCAAGAGACGTTATGACGCTCTGAATATTCACTCCACTGTGGAAATGAAACGGACCGACTTGTTGGTCGATTTTTTTTTACAATTCAAAGAGATGAACTGACACTGACCCGATCATCAATTTGTCCGACGCGCAGGAGCAATCTGGTCATGCATGTCAAAGCTCTCAATTTCCCCAACATGGAAGCCGAAGATGTTCTGGCGCAGACAATCGAGCCCCCTGAGAGGGAGCGAGTATCGGCGGCGATGTCACATCTACAATCTATTGGTGCACTCGATCGACATAAAGATTTGACCGCGCTTGGTCGAGTTTTACTTCAATTGCCAGTCGAGGCCCAAATAGGCAAACTGCTTCTACTGGGCTCTTTTTTCAAATGTCTAGAGCCAGCTCTCAACTTGGCAGCCATTCTCACCAACCGAGATCCATTTCTCTCGCCACCGGCAGCCAAGGCTGAAGCCGATCGAGTTAAATCTTCCTGGGCTCCGCTTGAATTCAGGTCAGATCCCTTGGCTTCTTTGGCTGCATTCAAAGCCTGGTCGAATCTGCATGCAGCAGGAGACAACTACAAGACAAACAAATTTACGAATGAGAATTTCCTTTCGAGGCCGGCATTATTTCAAATCGCTCAAGTCAAAACTCACCTTCTCGCCTCGCTGCGACGTGCAGGTGTCCTGGCAATCAGTGGCGGCGGAGGGCAGAGCGATAATCACTACAGCCGACGCAACGATATTCCACCCCATCTGAACAAAAACTCTGACAGTTTACCTCTCGCTGCTGCATTGATCGCTGTCGCTGTAGCCCCGAATTTTGCTGTAAGGAAGAGTGCAAGAGTTTTTGCGACAGATAAAGATAGAGTGAGTCCCCCCTAATTCATCACCAATATTTTTCATATAACTATTGGCACGCTTACCCCTTGAATCTTCTTCATTCCGGAAATAAAGACATGTATCATCCATGCCTCTAGTGTGAACTCTTATAAGAAGCAAGCGGCCGCCGGGGATGACATTCCTTTACAAAATGAGCGACAACTATTTGCGTTTGGCGAGAAAAGCTTGTTACCCCAACGACCAGGTGAGAAGGGCAAGGAACAGATGTCACTACGCGCAACAACACGATTAGATCCATTAGGGTACATGCTCTTTGGTGCGCGTCAGCTTCAACCGTACCCATCTGGTTTGCGATGCGATGGATGGCTCCCGATCACTGGCAATGCAGGTGCACTGGATGATGTTGAGCGATTGAAGCACGTACTTGATGCTTCCCTATTGAGAGTCTTTGACGGACTACTAGCACAGACGATCGAAAATAATCCACGATTGCCGAAGCGTCGAGCACGTGTCGTTCTGCCACCACCCAAGAGAATTAGCGCGGCTGCCAAGAAGGCTCAAGAAGCTGATGAGGAAGAATCAGTTGATTCGGAATTTGAGGTAGACGAAGAAGAAGATCAAGACGAGGTAGTGCCGGTGCAATTCGGAAAACTGACGCATGGGGAGATCCAAGATTTACAACGATTAACAGAAGAGGTAGTCTCCTTATTAAACAAATATTCCGAAGAAAGATTAGCGACGGATGTCAATACGTCTAGAGCACCAAGCCGACCCGACAGTCGAGCGACCAACCGGCCGTTAATCAATCGTTTACAACCCATGGGATATGGATCCGAAGGCGGAGGCGTTCATGGAGGGAATTCGAGTGCTGGTCCGAGTCGCCCTGGCAGTCGATTGACCAACCAAATTGAGCCTTCCAACACCCATCCAGCTCAGCAATCTTCCTGGAACCATCCCGGCCCGGCTATCCAACATGGCGTGCCATCTAAATTGCCCCCCGGGGTAGGCTATATGAATTGGAGTAACGGTGTCAGCTCGTTCCCTCCCCCTCCCCCTCCTGCATCTTCTCAAGGTGGTACTTGGCAACAACAACAACAACATCCTCTACAACAGCGAAATCCTCATCCCTCTTCTTCTTCTGCAAGGTGGCGATAATCCATTTTTTTTCTTTTCATCGCTCTGCGCTCATGCATACTATACACAATATATAGCTTGTTTTTAGTGGTCTTACAACAGCATTTTTTTTATCTTTGAACTACTTTTTTTTTCTTTTCTTTTGGTCATAGATTTTTCTTTTTCTTTCTTTATCTCATGTCTTCACTCCTAACAAGATAGATTATTTTGTTTTTGCTTTGTTTTTCAAAAGAAAGTAATGAACAAAGTAAAGACTTTTTCCCTCTTCTTTTTCGTGTTGATCAATTAGACTACACAAACTGAAACAAGCCAACATACATACACACAGCCAGCAAGGAATGAGAAAAATGTTTATGTGGAGAATGATTTGTATCTAATGAAAGCAACAAAAAATGATTTGAATCTTCTTTGGTTACTGTTCTTCTGGTTCTGCATCTACATAGTCACTCACTTTCCTGACTTTGACATTATGCAAACACATCTGGTTATTGAGGTGTAATGTCAATTTGTCATGAAGAAAGGAGACATCCAACCAACTTTTGGAGTTGGCAGCTCCGGCGGTCGCATCGGCTACGTACAATACAAGCTGTACACAGGGAACCAATCGGTTACCGGATGTCTCTCGAGTCTACCCGGAACTCGAACCGACCCGGTACCCGGTCGGGTACTGCCGGCTCATCGGTGGGTGCACCCCTGTCGATACTAGACAGCCAGTGTAGACTGACTCGCAAGGCTGTCTAACAGGCGGTCTCCTATCTCGGTTTCGCTCGATCCTCTGCAGGTCTACTCGCACGCTCCTCTCGGTTTTTTTCCAATCTCGCCAGCTCAACTTCCGTCGGTACGCAGTCGCAGCCAAACCACCAACTCACCCGGCTGCCAGCAGCGGCATCGGCTCCCGCCTCATCCAACGGCATCGCCTCATTGATTGGCATCAACGGACGACTCCTCATCCATTGGCATCGGCTCCTCGCAGGTCTACTCGCACGCTCCCCTCGTTTATTATCCAATCTCGCCAACTCCTTCGACTTCCGGCGGTACGCAGTCGCAGCCAAACCACCAACTGGAACAAACTCGGTAAGCCTGTCACAGTCCCATCCTGCTTGCCAGCAGCGGCATTGGCTCCTCCCTCATCCAACGGCATTGCCTCCTCATTGATCGGCATCAACTGACGACTCCTCATCCATTGGTATCGGCTCCTCGCAGGTCTACTCGCATCTACTCGCACGCTCCCCTCGTTTATTATCCAATCTCGCCAGCTCCATCGGTGACCGGGTCTAATCCTTATGTCTCCTTATGTACATTACTGAGCAGATACAATCGCATTCGATTCCACTTGGTAAGTTGGTTCCATTTTGTTTTGACTCATCTGGAAAGTCCCCAAATCACTTGTCATTCTGATCAATGCAATGCTAACATTCTGTCCTTTTTTTCAACTAATCAAACAGGTAGCCTAGCCGACTGCTTTCTTCGTTTTGTGATATTCGCTCCGATCGTTTAAATTGCATAAGACTTCTTTTCGGTTTTACCTGGTAAGTATTTACCTGATTATGTACATCATCTTGTAAATTCATTTACCTTTCAAAAATCTGGACACTTGGCTGATTCTTGTATTTCGCTTGGAATTGTTCCATAGCGAGCTTGATTTCATATACCGCACGACTATCGTTCCATAGCGAGCTTGATTTCATATACTGTACGACTATCGTTCCATAGCGAGCTTGATTTCATATACCGTACGACTCGATCAACCAATTCAAATCAGCCGCCCAGCGCGGTCTGCACGAGCAGCACAACCATGATGTGTGAGGATTGTGTCTGCTGACCAAATCATCAGACTTCCCAGCAAACCCGATAAACTCCATAGATACGCTGGATGGACCCTAATCAACCTCGACCACGAGCCCTGCAAGGCCAATGAAATGATGATGTGAAATGCATAAATACATGCGAGGCCAGACA